TTTTGGGCTTTTTTTTTTTTTTTAATTTTACGATAGTGAAGATTTATTTACACTTCCTTGGGTACAAGATACAAATCGTAGCTTATTTAGCCTTGGAAAATAGGATGGGATACCTTTTTCTTTTGAGCCTGAGCGCAGGAAGGCATGGGTTTTGTACAGATATTTTAAAGATATGAACCAACAAGGAACCCAGACGTTAAAATCATTACATTGGTAGATGAGTAGTATGCATGGATGAGTTATCTGCTGAGGGTGGAGAGAAGGAGGAGGTGTAATTACAGGCTTAAGGAGAATGAAAACAGATTTTTTAATGTTCCTTGTGAGGAAGGTGACAGTAAATAAAAGGATTGTTGAGCACAGTGAGGACCTGGCTAAAGGCATATAGAATGGTTATAGAGCAGTAATCCAGAGGTTAGGAGTGGATCGTGGGCTCAGTCCTGTCTCAGTGATAGTACTTGAGATTGTAAACATTTGAATGGGAGACTTGTACTTTTTTTCACAGAAGAAGCTAAGTTTTTATAAACTCCTAGAGCCTCAGAACCTGTTGTCTTCGAGTCAGTACCAACTCATAGTGACCCTGTAGGAGCCTGGTGGCGCAGTCGTTAGATGCTTAGCTGCTAACCCACCAGCTGCTCCATGGGAGAAAGATGTGGCAGTCTGCTTCTGTAAAGATCACAGCCTAGGAAACCCTGTGGGGCAATTCGACTCTGTCCTTGAGAGTTGCTGTGAGTTAGAATTGACTCGAAGGCAGTGGGTTCGGGTTTTTTTTTGTTTAGTTGGGTTTTTTTGTTTGTTTCTTGTTTACAGCCTCACAGCTGGGAGGGGAGGTATTTAAGTTCATTTCTTAGGAGTATTGTTTTATAAGCCACAAAACCTATTCACCTGATACTTGCGTTTTTAACAGTAAGGGGTAACTCACCTTCATTGATGAAAGTTACTGGTGGTATCTTGAAAGGGCTTTTGGTGGGAGAAGTTGCCAGATCAGGTGGTGGCATTAAATCTCTGGGATAACCTGGATCCCTCTGTATCTCATTACCTCCCAGCAGACCAGGAGTATACTGATGGCTGTTAGGAATATGTTGTGGCACCACCTGGACAAGAGGAGGAGATACATGGGTGTCTTGTCGGGAAAATATCCTCAAGCACTGTTCCTCCAACAAAGTGATCATCACAGACTGGTTATTGACAAGATCAGTCAAGGAAGCGTATTTCACCTCTAGTTCCCTGTACCTTGTTGCCATCTTCAACATTTCTGTGGTGACGTTGAGGATTTTGTTTTCCAACTGGGAAAGTTCAAGTGAATTATCCCTCTTACGGATAATCTCATGTAATAGTTGCATATAGAGTTGAGTAACACGAGAGTTCATGTTACGGCTTTCTTTTCTTAGCAGCTTTACCTCATTCACAATGTTTCCATCTACATCCACTACCAGTTGCAGGACATCTATCTCCCGCTTCTGCCTGGAGAGCACATCCTTCAGGTTCTCAAGGTCCATCTTGGTGATCATGTCTTTAATGGTACCTGCATCTTGCCCTTTGGTGTTGACACAAATTGGCCCTGTTATTTTTTGTTCAGGTACCAGGAATGTGTATGCACATTTCTTTGCTTCCTCTTTACCATCTGCAGCACGAGGGTATCTCCTCTGGGTTGTTTTTTTTATTTTGGACTGTCCTCTGCAATGTTCGGAGCTCATTACTATGAGGAAGAGCACACCTAGGATCCAGATAAAAGCCTTCATTTTGAAATGTGATTGTACAACGACGTCTTTAGAAAAACAAATCAAGGAAGGGAAAAAGTAAAAAAAAAAAAATTAATCTACTTTTGAAGTTGATAGTATAAAAAAGTATCTAAAGTAAGAATTGAATATTTACTGGTATTAATAAACTATGCCAGAAGTAACTTTTTTAATTGCTTAAATTCAAGATTAAATTAAAATGCTTTGACATTTGTTTAAGGACTAGGTTTCAGAGAATAGCTCTTCCAGCTACCACCTTATCGTAATGCTTTTTGTTCCCCAGCTCATTGAGCAGATTTTGGTGAGTGCCCACTGTGTATAAAGGCACGCTGCTGGGTGCTATTGGGGCTTTTGAGACCTAATAAGACCTTTCGTACTTTAAAGAGCTCCCTTATTATCTTAAGACTATGAAAATGGTACACAGCGTTTCCAAGGCAGTAATTAAAACATTCTTGCCTAACCAGTATTAAAGTTGCCATGTCACTTTTTACTAGTCCAGGTTTTATATTTATACTATGAAGTTTCAATTAAATTGGTCTTCTGTAATAAATATCATGTCTTTTTTACCTGTCTAATTAAAGAAATGTTTTAGAGAAGTCTAAAACCTGAAAGTTTTAGCATCCTGTGATGTCTACCCCCATCCCACCTTCATAGTATCTTCTTTTGGGATTGGTGATAGATTTAAGAATGGTAGAATTCTCAGCAGTCATTATTGTGAGTAAAATTGTGTTTCCTGAACCATAATCACGTGCCCTAAGTTTATATATGATTCAATAGGTTCATACTAACCGAGGTGTTGCTAAATTGTATTTTAGTAAAATATTAATGATTTCCCACAACTGTTGCCAAGCGAAGAAACTATCTGTAAGTGAACATGAATGTTAGAGTTGGAAAGTGCCATCTCCTTCAAGAACTTCTTTGTACCGATGAGCATGTTGAAGGCCAAGGCCACACAAATAGGTAACCTCAGAGCCAGATTTAGAACTCAAGTTCCCTGGCTCCTCAGACAGTGTTTATAGCAGTGGCACATATTAGATATGCTAAAATGTGTGTTTGGAATGTTCCACTCTTGTTGTGGCAGATGAGAAATGCTTGTCCTATAAAGTACAATTTTTTTCTGAGGAAACACCAGAACTAGTTCCAAGAACCAAAGCTTCCTCTGTTCTCTTTAGGTACTTCCCAGAAGCGTAGATAGTAGCAGTAGAAAGGGGTAAGCTGTGTTCACTCCATCAGTTCCATTAACAGTCTGCTGTATTGTAGCCCACCTTCCCACTCTTTAAATCTCGATTCCTGTCTGCTGCTTATGTAGGATGGCAGTACATACCCTAAGTCAGAGCTTTTATATCCAATTTTCCACCCAACTACTTGTTTCTTGATTTGAGAAGCCGGGTCCCAAGTTATTTACTCTTACTATTAATAATAACAGTTAATACATATTAGGTGCTTGTTAAGTTCCAGTTGCTATTTTAAGCCCCTTACTGTATTGAATCATTTACTTAATACTACAACTCTATGAGGTTGATTGTCTGTTTTGAGCCTCACTTTCAAATGAGGAAACTTGCATCTAAAATTAAATACTTTACTCAGAGTCACTGAGCTTCTAAGAGATGGAGCCAGAATTTGAACCCAGGCAGAGGAATCCAGAGTGCATGTTCTTAATTAACCACTACAACACATGGCAACATACTCTAGCCCGTGTTCTATCATCTACACTGTGACAGTATTTAATTGCATTCATAACAACACTGTGAAGTAAATGCTATACCTTTTTGCAAATAAGTAATGTCCTAGAGAAGCTAAAACACTGAAATGATATTCAGATCCTCTACTCATAACTTTTCTCGACCTGTGATTGTTTTACCCTAGTCATGTTATTTTACACTAACCGTTGCCATTGAGTCCATGCTGGCTCATAGCAACCCTCTTATTTTATGTTATAACTACAGAGGAGTCTTAAGTTTGCATTTCTTGTTTTTTCACTTCCTTTTGCTGGTTTATATGTTTTTACATTGACCCATTACTTAATTATGCAGAAATACCTGTGAATCGTTTTAGTCAGATTTTGTTTCCATCATTTTTATGTATCAGGCTTTTTTTGCTGTCATTCCTTCCCCTCCATACGTATCTTATCAGTTGGTATTTACATGTCTGATTTGTGATTTGGAGAGCCCTGGTGGCACAGTGGTTAAGACCTCAGCTGCTAACCAAAAGGTTGGCAGTTAGAATCCACCAGCTGCTCCTTGGAGAGCCTATGGGGCAGTTCTGCTCTGTCCTGTAGGTTCACTATGAGTCGGAACTGACTCGATGACAGTGTTTTGGTTTTTTTTTCTTTTTTAATTGGTGATTTAGAGTCCTTGGGTAGTGCAAACACTTAATTCACTCAGCTCCAAAATGCTGGAGATTCGAGTACACCCAGAGGCACCTCGAAAGAAAGGGCTGGTGATCTACTTCCAAAAAATTCAGGCATTGAAAACCCTCTGGAGCACAGTTCTAGTCTGACACACATGGGGTCGCCATGAGTTGGAATTGACTTGACAGCAACTGGTTTTAATTTGTGATTACAAGCCCTCCCAAAAGTAAAGGCTGTGTCAGTGAAATATGGAGTCTTCACCTGTTGTCATGAAGACTACTGCTACTTTCTAAAGCCATGAGTCCTTATTTTTTGTTTTGTCAAAGAACTAGTGTTTCCAAAAGGGATTAAAAAAATGAAAATAAAGCAAAGAATGGATGGAATGTTGAGAATTATTTTTCTTTTACTAACTTAATCAAGATAGAGAGAATGAGCCTAATAACATTCCTCTTGGATGAGTGTTTGTAGTTTGTTTTTTGTTTTGTACTTCGCGTTATAGCGATGATAGAAAATTTAGGCCTTAAGAGTCATCTATCTTTTTTGTTTCTGTTTTTGGTTTTTGTTTGTTTGTTTGTTTGTTTGTTTTTGCTTTTAAGGACTTTCACTACTCAAGAATTACCTATACTGAAAACTGACAAAAAGAGTGTCTTTATTTATATGAGTTCTGGAATTTTTGGATAGGGTCAAATAAAACATAAGCAATCAGCCTTCTGGGTAAATGCACAGCATTTCTCCTACATAGCTAACTTACCTACTGCTGAAATTCACTCATTTTACTTTAATAATAGAATGGGAACTCTTAGATCATAAAACTATTTTATTTTGAAATAAGCTACAAAAGCAAAGGAAATTCAGAAAATATCATGAAACTATAAAATCCAGAGAATTTTATGAACAATATTGTAATTGAACAGCTTGTATTAATACTAGGTACAGATTTTTATAGAACACCTAAGAGCGTATCCATCCAAGACTGTTATTGTGGTTTTGGATCAGCGCTATTTTGGGGAACTAGGATGTACTAATCCAAATTAAGGTAACAGTAGCTTCCTTTCGTGTATCCTGCCTTGGTTCATTATGGTTGCCTATAGTTAAGTGATAAGATAAAGCACTGTCTGCCATAAGAGAATCTGATCTAAGTTAGCATTTAAAGAAGAAACCAAAACACAGTACTGATTCTGACTCATAGCGACCCTATAGGACAGAGTAGGATTTCCAAGGAGCAGCTGGTGTATTCGAACTTCTGACCTTTTGGTTAGCAGCTGAGCTCTTAACCACTGCACCACCAATGTTCCTAAAGGAGAAAACTAAGTTTATTTTTTAAAAACTTAAAGTTTATTTTTTAAAAAATAAATGTAATTCCTTTATCCTTACAAAAGTAATGACTTCGTTGTTCCTTAACGCAGAGCAAGGAGCCGCATTTCTTTAGTAGACTAGTTACGTCATTTACTTTTCGTAGAAGAACTATGGATCTCTTAAATCTTTAATTCAGATATTGAGTAAGGAGCTGGTTTAAAAAATACATTTACTGTGACGTTTTCTAAGAACGTTCTCTTATTTAATATTTTCCCACATATTTTCAGTTTTAAAAGGGAAAGATCCATAAATCTGTGTTACCTCATAAAACCTTTCTGTGTATGTTAAAATTTTCCTAGGTCCCAAGAGAATGTTATAAATTAGTTACAGTATACTTAAGTTTAAGTCTACATCTTTGCTTGGTTTTTAAGGGAGGGGGAATGTTTTCCATGCTTTGGGTTAATTTTATTGGTACTGTTTTTCTTCATAGTTGCTATATTGCCAGCTAGTAGAGAGAAGAAATAAAGGTCAGGATTTACTTCCTTTTAGATGGTAAGCTCATAGAGAGACATTTACTGGCTGTGTCATGCACTGAAAACAGTGTGAGGCAATGAACTTAAATGTATGAGGCATCGAGGATACCTTAGATACAGAACTTCTAGATTGTGAAATATGTTCTAGAAAGAGACTTGAGAACAACCTAATCCCCTGAAGATATTTTAAAGAGGGATAAGTAGTTATACGTGTTAAATGATTGCCTAAAGCTTCAGTAAGAATGAGGCTTTAATGAAGTCCTCTACTTTTCATAGCAAGGAGCAACAAAAGAGAGAAAGAGAGATGATAAGTATTTCAGGTCCAGTATTGCTTGGAAATTTTATCAGAATTTCTTGAAAATATGTGATTAGCAAAGATCCTTCCAGTACTTAGTCAGTCGAGGGAGGAAAGGATATGAAAGCGAAGGTGAAAAATCCTAGCTTTACCGTTACTTACTTGTTAAAGATTCTTACCATTATTATCTTTAATTTTTAAAAGGCAAAAGAATCCCTGAATCATACCAAACAAAGTGTCTTTGGCATTAAAAGTTACTATTGGCAACTAGTAATTTTATTTTTAATAATTGTCATAATATTTATAAAGCTTTCAGATAGAATATTGAAGGAAACCTTGTGTATGGTTATTAAAAAGATTTCTATCTAAAAATGATCTATATTTTGGCCTTTTAATTTTGATCTTAAGTAATTATATTTTCTTGATTCTTATTTTCTATTGTTAATGTTAACTACTTACATCATACTTCTATCACATTTTATATTTTCTACTCAGTCCTAATGTATAAGAAGGTTTTAGTGTTTTTATGTATCAGTAATTTTGCTTTTCCAAATAATTCCAGCTATGTAGCAGTTTTAACTTCTGTTACTCCAGTTAAATTACTGTTAGATGTGAAACCTAGAAAATTATTTAAAATTTTGAGTCATAGCAAGAAATACCATAGGTATATCTTAAATCTTCAGTAGGATTTTCTGCTTAATATTTGGTTGTTCTATAAATCTAGGTGTTGTTGTAATGCCTTTCAGCTATTTTGATATCTTCATAGCATTTTTTTGTAACTATGAGAAATCCAACAGTATATATGACTCTTCAGAACACATACTGTATTTATGTGAAGAAAAACTAACCATGTTTACAATCCTCTTCTTTAGTTTGTATTTGTTTTTATTCAGGGTGCTATAAACCATAAACATTGAATTTGTTACTTGTTAAAATTTTTCTAGTGTCTTTAAAGCACTTGTTTTCTGAAACCCAGCATGTATGCATCAGTCTAATTATATCCAACAAATGTCACTACATAGAACCTGAAATAATGTAAGCGTTAACCTCATAAAGTACTTAATGATCAGTGTTTACATAAAAATGCAAAACAAAACCGGTATCAGATGAAATTGTAGTATGCTCCCAAGTTCTTTGTTTTATAAGAGATTTGGAAATTTCTACTACAAATGTAAAATAATTATGCATGTCAACATTCATAGTATTTTTAAATAAAAAGAAATATTAAAATACCTTTTTGTATCTGTTGATAAAGTGAATCCAGAAACTTGCTGCCCTTATCCTTGATTTTAAAAATCAGTGTTGAAGTTTGTTCATCTGTAACTCTAATGGCAACTGCATTTTTTGTTTTGGACCGTTGAATCCAAGCTGTAATAAGGAAGGTCTTTTTCTTCTTACCGTACTAATCAATTGAATTTGACAAGCCACCTATGTAATTTTAAATAGTATAGTGGAAGTTCTGGTCTGTGGGCTGTCTTTAATCCAGCAGAGAAAGCATTGTGGCTTTGCTCTGTCTGCCACATGGAGAAATGCAGTAACCAGCTGCAGCTGACCCAGATTGTATATACAGTACCCGCGGATAGTGATTGCCTCTCCTTCTCAGTAGACTCAAGTTCAGCCCACATATTACATCACCAAAAAAATTGCTGGAGACTGGGGGGGAAGTCTCCTTAGGATTTCCTCTCTGTTGCCTTAAATAGGGGTGGGGGTAGTGGGATCAGCAGGAGGTTGAATAGCTATGAACAAGGAAAGATTGTGTGCAGGTTGAAGGAAGGGCACCATCTGGAAACAAACTGTCATAGTTCAGCGGGCAATTATAAAACAAACATTTTAGTCTGCAGGCCAGAAGTCTTTTACGTTGAACACTGAAAAAACAGTGTTCTCAACTTCACTAAGAAGTAGTTGCAGGCTGATGATGCATTTGTTTTTTGTGAGCACAAGAGCCTGACTTTGTCAGGAGGCAACCCTCTAAATACTATACTCTTTAAAGCCTAGAATTTTTAAACATTTTACTTACCAAGTTACCATTTTAGAAAGTCTTAAACTTACAAGAAAGCTGACATTGTTTTACTATGTTATATCTTAACTATGTAATGTTTCTTAAGATTAAACTGCTTTTGTATGTAATTACTGAAAGCAAATAGAAATCTGTATGAAATTCTTTCAGAAACTTAATACGTTTTAAGCTTAAATTATGGTGTTATACAAAGTCACCTCCTCCTCTTCTACAATATTGCTCTTCTTGTCTGAATAAGATCATTCTTGTTATTGTTGTGGTGTGGTTTAAAAGCAAACATAACCCTGAACTGAGTGAGAGAAAGGGAATTCTGACTCTCCACTGGCTGTGTGAACTTAAGCAAGCCAATGTACCTACCTCTGGCCCAGTTTCTTATGCTCTGAAATTGAGGTACTGGAGAGGGAATTGTTGAGTACCAACTATACTATTATTTTGACATTAAATTGAGAAATGTTTTTGAATATCTCAATAGCTGAAGAAACAAACTTAGCTGTTGTAATTTGCCTGAGGTTTTTCACTTAACTACTAAGTAGTGGGACTGGGATTTGAATCAAACTCCAAAGCATTATGCCACATTATCTGTCAGTGAATCGTATAACTGCTGAATGCTGTTTCCAGATTAAACATTTGGGCTTTTACTTCCTACACATACCGTGTACTTCCCCCTCCTCCTTGCCCTGGCTTGTGCTATTTTTCTCTTCCTGATGTGCCCTACCATCAAATGTTTGTGGATCCACATCCTTTATTTAAAGTCTGAGCTTAATTTCTACCTCTTTCATAGGCTTTATTCTTAATTGTTTTTTTAATTCCTGTGATGTAAATAGGAGCCCTGGTGGCGCAGTGGTTAAAGCTGTCAGCTGCTAACGGAAAGGTCGGCAGTTTGAACCCATCAGCTGCTCCCCAGGAGAGAGGCATGGCAGTCTGTTTCCATAAAGATTACAGCCTTGGAAACCCTGTGGGGCAGTTCTACTCTGTCCTATAAGGTTGCTATGAATTGGAATCCAGTCAGTGGCAATGAGTTTGGTTTGGTTTGGTTTGGGTATGACAAATAGCTATACAAGGTTGAAAACTCAAGGGCCTCCAAAAGCAAATGATCACAAGAATGAAGCAGGTAATGTAAATGAGTGAAGTAAGCCAGAAGTAAAATAATAGAGAAAAATACAGGTAGTCTCCGACTTAAGACATATTTGAGTTACAACGAGCTGCACTTACAATCATCTAATTTTTTTTTAACATCGTATCATGAGTAATATGTACAACGTACAATGTTAGAATATATCTATAACTTTATATGTAATTTTCCCAACCCCCAAAGACAAAGACTAGAGTTATAAAGATACTGATAATGAAAGGCAATAGTAATGAAAACTAAGAAAAAAAAATGAAGTATTTGACTTAACGTCAGAACCAACTTATGATGGAGCCGTTGGAATAGAACCCCATCATAAGTAAGGGACTGTCTGTAAGGGTTATAACAGACTTTCATGCAGTGGTTAATTTAAAGGGGTCTGTACCTTCTTAGCTGCACCTGATTGTTGCCACCAAGGATTATGAGACAGTGTTGCCAGATCTTTGAATTTTTCAGGAAAAGAGAGTCATTTAGATTTTTCTAGCCTCTAATTTATATTATACATACATTACTTGACATTCAGTGATTATGTTGTATTCACTAATAATATCTTAATCTAGGAAAAACGGAAGATACTAAGTTTCTCCTGGTTTTGAGCTTTCTAACTTGAGCAATTAGTAATATCACTATAACTAAGGTAGGAAATTGGACTGGCAGATGTTTAGGGACAAATAATAGGTTTAGTTTGGCATATTAAGTTGAAAATGAAAGTCAGAAGCTCAGTTCTATAGAGAGATTTGGAAAGTCATCAGTGATTAGGTGATAGCTGAAGCTACAGGACTGTAAGACAGAGAAGGTACATGTAGTGTGAGAAGATTAATGACAGACCCATGAGGAATACCATCCTGCAAGGAACATGAGGAAAAAAGAAGAATTGGAAAAAGAGGCTAAGAAGGTTCAAGCCAGGAAAGACCAAGGAACTATATATAAGGGAATGGTAAAAATACCACCGAGAGATTAAGTAGATGGGGTAGATGAAGAAAAATATTTAAGGATTTAATAATGAAGAGGTCATTAATGTCTTTGCAAAAATTTCAGTAGTGTGGTAGATGTAGTTGTTAGACTATATAGTAGGTTGAGGAGTGACTGGTTAACGTATTACTGACAAAGGATTAGTATCTACAATATATTGACAACTTAGAAATCAGTAAGAAGCAGACAACCTAAGAGGAAAAAATAGGTAAAAGGCATGTTTAAGCTAAATGCTTAACTTCATTACTAATCAAGGAAATGAAAATGTAGATGACCAGATACAATTTTGTACTCACAAGATTGGCAAAAATTAAGAAGACTGATAATACCAAGTGTTAACACAAATATGCATCAGCAGAAGCTCTTGCATACTGTCAGTGGGAGTGTGAATTGTTACTGCTTTAAAAAACAATGTGGCGTTGTTTTGTACAGTTGAACATTAATACATCTTCCCCCCATTGCCTTTGAGTCGATTCCAAATCATAACAACCCTATATAGGACAGAATGGAACTGCCCCCGTAGGGTTTCCAAGTCTGTAATCTTTACCAAAGCAAACTGCCACATCTTTCTCCCGCGGAGCAGCTGATGGGTTCAAACCTTATAGTTAGCAGCTGCACACTTAACTACTGTGTCACCAGGGCTCCTTTAATATATTTTCTTGTTAGGTGCTGTCAGGTCGGTTCTGACTCATAGCGACCCTGTGTACAACAGAGCAAAACACTGTCCGGTCCTGTGCCATCCTCACATTCGTTGTTATGTTTGAGCCCATTGTTGCAGCCACTGTGTCAGTCTGTTTCATCGAGGGTCTTCTGCTTTTTTTGCTGACCCTCTACCAAGCGTGATGTCCTCCTCCAGGGACTGGTCCCTCCTGATAACATGTCCAAACTACGTGAGACGAGGTCTCACCATCCTCACTTTTCTTCTAGGTATATGTATATGTGTGTGTGTGTGTATCCTAGAGTAATTCTTGTACATGTGTACCAGGAGACACATATAAGAGTGTCTGTAGCAACATGAGGGAGAGGGGAAGTAACCCAAAATCAACAATAAAATAAGTAAATTGTGATACAGTTATGCGTTCGTTTATTCTCAAGTTAAGGAATGGTTAAGAGCTCAGCTGCTAACCAAAAGGTCAGCAGTTGGAATCCACCAGCTGCTCCATGGAAACCCTTTGGGACCCTCTGTCCTGTAGGGTCGTTGTGGGCCAGAATCGACTGGATGGCACCGGGCTTGGTTTTTGGGTTTTAGTGTTATAGATGAGTCTTAGAAACAAAACTGTGAGAGAAAACAATTGCAGAAGACTGTAGTTTTTAAATGTATTTAACAAATGCTCCTAGATTACTTATTGTATACCAGACACTGTTCTAACCACTTTACAAAAATTGTTATTGAATTTAATCATACATACATAAAAGAAGCTCAAAAATAAGCAAAAGTAAAGAAGATACAGGCATATATGCCTTGGGAAAAAACAAAGGGATGTTAATCTTAAAACACAATACTGGACAGGAGGCGGGGAGATGAAGTAGAGAAGAGGCATATAGGTAGGTCCAGCAGAATTAGCGATGTTCATGTTTAAGGTTCTTTTTTATTGTAAAAATATATATAATACAACATTTGCCAATTCAGCATTTTTTAGGTGTACAGTTTAGTGATACCAATTACATTAATCTTGTTGTGCAACCATCACCCATAATCATTGCCATGTTTCCCATCACCATAAACAGAAACTCATTACTTTGAAGGATAATTTGTTTAAGGATAAAATCATGATTCTCATACAAATGTAAAACAAATACATGTCAAAGATTTCACTTAAGTGATTAAATTAATAAGGAAATCAGTAAGAAATTACAACCATTTCAAGGGAGAATTCAGAGTACCACACATGTATATAGGCAGTCAGTAATGCTGAAATGAATTTACAGATAGTTGCAAAATTGGTCAATATCCACAGGCGATAATCAGTTACATTTCACTTGTCAAAATTCATCGGCATTTCTATGGACAAGAATTTGTATTATTGCCAGTTTTCAACAACTTAAAGAGTTGTAAAATAGCTTGAAAGGGCCAAAAGGATGCGCTGGAGAGACAGGACATCTAGTAATCTTTTTTGCCTGTTTCCAAGTCTTTCACAATTTTTCCTGGCATATGTAAACTTTATGTGTATCAAATATTACATTAAAAATAGCATGAAGCATAAAATAAGGCAGTAAGTATAATATTCTGTGTTTCTCTTTCAAGATGTTTGTTGGAGGGAGGGAGGCAAGGGTCCTATCTTGAGGGGATCATGTTTACAGGAAGGGTTGCTTTTATTTTATTTTCTTAAATGGGCAGTTTAAGTGTAAATATTCCCTGGGTGTTGCAAACAGTTAACACGTTCGGCTGCTAACCAAAAGCTTGGAGATTTGAGTCCACCCAGAGAGGCACCTCAGAAGAAAGACCTGGTGATCTACTTTTGAAAAGTCAGCCATTGAAAATCCTATGCATCACAGTTCTACTCTGACACACATAGTATTGCCATGAGTCAGGGTCAACTCAACAGCAACTGGTTGGTTGGTTTGTTTTATTGGCTCTGGGAAAGGAGCCAGTGGGGAGTGAGTAATAATAGAGGCAACAAATGAGATTAGAGGAAGAGGAAAGGAGCTAGGTTGTAGATTCATTTGGGGTCATAGAAAAAGTTGAGGTTCTCTAAAGAAAAAAAAAATATGTGTGATAGGTAGCTTAAAGAATGCTATAAAGATTTACTGAGAGGAAAGGAATGATACTTGGATGAGTAAAAGCTTTGCCATGCCAACCAGCAAAAATTGATTAAGTACCTATTGTCAAAACAAAGAATCCTGATGGCTGCTAACCAGAAGGTTGGAGGTTCGAACTCACCAGCTACTCCATGGGAGAAAAGACCTGGCAATCTGCACCTGTAAAGATTACATCCCAGGAAACCCTATGGGGCAGTTCTAGTCTGTCATACTGGGTTGCTATCTCAAAATACTGCATGGGGATTTTAAATTTAATTCTTAGAATGCAAGATAGAGCAGTTGCCTTTAATGAGTTTTTAGTCTTGAACAGATAAGATATAAATATAAGAAAATTTAAATAATTAAAGAGATTATAAAGTCATAAAATTATCAAGTGAATGGTACGAATAATGCATGCATTTATAACAGTGTGTAACAAAGTGATTGAACTACAAGTGAAACCTGTTTGAGACCTGGCTGTCTTACTAACAGGTTGCATGGCATTAGACACCCAAGTTCTGAGAACCTGAAGTCTTCATCTATAAAAAAGAGGGGGTTAGACTAGACTGTTTCTAAATGCCTTTCTTTGAATCTGTGAGAAAACCAGAGAACAGCTGACACTAAACTATTATCTGAAAAGCAATAAGATTTGAATGGGCAGAGATGAGTCTAGAAAACATCCAAAGTGGGGGAAATGGCATAAGAAAAAACACAGGACTTACTTGGAAGGTAATGAGTCCATCATTTTGGTTGAATTTACCCTGAGAATTCGTGAACGTGGAGCACTGAGGTAAAAGAAGGAAAGCATGTATTTTCTCTCTAACTATAGTGATATACATGTCTCACACATTTTACATGTGCTTAGTAAATGCTTGGTAAATACTTTTAAAACAGTCCAGGACTATTACAGCCAAATTGTTTAGGGGGGAGGATATGTTTTTTTGTTGGTATAGAGAAAAAAGGGTAGGAGAGTGTTAACTTCAGTTTGTAGTCACATGAAGTATTTCAGAAATCTAATTGTTGATTGAAAATTTAAGACGTTTCTATCCGAATGAGACAATTTTCAAAGTACTTAAGACTGTAATAGTAGTTAGCAACTCACAGCAGAGGGTACAGAACTCTGCTTAACTTCTTCAGGCTTTACCACAACTTGGAAAATAGGTGCTAGCTATATAGATGCAAAAACTGAGGTTCAGAGAGATCAAAATAACTGTCTCCATTATGCAACTAATCAGAGACAGAGCCAGTTCAAGAGCTCAGCGTCTTTCTGTTAGGTCCCACATGTGCTGGAGTTTCTCTCTAACTCCAGGCTCAAACCATACATTAAATGGTATCATAAGAAGACATCTTACTTAAATAAGACATTTATTCGCGTGTCTGACCCCCAACTCTATGGAATCTAGGCCTCCGTGCTCATGTTTGAATAAGGCTGCAGTATATTAATAACAGCATATTTTAAATATGACATATATTGAAATATAAATGAACTCTTCCTCCCCCCCCCCCTTTACTTTTTCATACTCTTCCAAACCACAAATAAGAAAACACTCATTTATCTAATTTTGTTTCAGGTATCTATTTGTCAGATTTAACATATATTGATTCAGCATACCCATCAACTGGCAGCATTTTAGAAAATGAGCAAAGATCAAATTTAATGAATAACATCCTTAGAATAATTTCTGATTTACAGCAGTCCTGTGAATATGGTAAGTTTGTGGGGGGTAATGCTCTGCCATTATCATGGCTGTGGTTCTGTAGATTCATTCATACATGTTGAAGGCCACTTCTCCCATAGCCAGGAACATCGGTTTCTTATTTCCATCCTAACATGAAGGGAGATAATAGTTATGTTTTTATTCCGTCATTTAATACTTTGCATCCTTCCAGCCTTGCTTTTAAGGAATTGAAGTATTTAATATTTAAAATTTTAAATTTTTATCTTTTGTTCTGCTATTTTGCTTACAGAGTCACTTAACAGTCATTTAGCCCTTTATGGTTTAGAAAATTTTTATATTACCTTCATCTCATTTGATCTCCCTTATCCACTATGTAAATAGATCATATATTTTTCAGTTAGAGAAGGAGCTGAGACCCTTAATCTTAGTGACATTCCACTAGCTTTTTTGCATCAGATACTGAGTAACCAATTCTCGTCCCGGGTGTATTTTATGGAAAGACATCTGGAAAGAGCTAAGGCAACCCAAATGATTAGAAAAGGGGGATTTTTTAATGTTTTTAAAATGTTTGGATGCTTCCAATTTGATAGAGAATAAAGTTGGCTGTTGGTATTTTTCACATTTGTTCTTTATATTTGAACATTTTTAAGCTGTATTGTCATGCTTAATAGTATTTATTTTGCATTTGAATTGAGAACATAGTGTCACTACTAATATTTTTATTTTTACTGTTAATTATCTGTCACTTTTTCTTTAAACTTGGGACCGTTAAAAATCTATTGATGCCATTAAACCTTTATTCTTAACCCTAGTGGTCAAAATGTTTTAAACAGATCCCATATGTAATCTTTATGATGTTAAAACAATGAAGTTACCTTATTTAATTTATTTAAAATAAATTTGCCTCGAAGCTGACTTTATTTGTATGCATCTATACCTAAAAATATGTCTGGGGGAGGGGGAGCATCTTACTGAAAATTAAATAATTTCTTACTCTAGCCTCTCCTCAATTTTTTTTAACATAACACCAAATTATAATGTTAAATTAATCTAATTTAAAATGTATATGTAGGGGGAGGAAATACATTTACAAATGGGAGCCAGGTTTCTTTTTAAAAAAAACTGCCTTTATATCTTGCATTTAAAATGAAGTCCTCAATTTTTCCTTTGAAATTTCTGAAATAAGTGAGACTTCGTAAATGGAGCTGTTTTATAAAATATTATACAAACAGTATGCAACTGTAATTTTTATCTGTGCTACCAGTACTTTTCTGTAATTCATTGTTTTCTCCATTACAATCCAGGTAAGCTTTCTAAATTACCTTCAGTTTAACATCAAATAAGTTTACCTCAGTAATGCCCTTCTGGAGTTAATTTAAATTTTGGTGCTGTGTGGCCTTAATTTACTTTTAAATGTATTTTTCTCTTAAATTTTAAATTTCTGTTTAAGATATACATTATAAGATAAATTACTTACTCTTTTTAAAGTTAACTTTTAAAATTTTTGGTTATAATATACTTTATAGGATAATTATTTATCACCTTTTCCCTAGATATTCCCATGTTGCCTCATGTCCAAAAATATCTGAACTCTGTTCAGTATATAGAAGAACTACAAAAGTTTGTGGAAGATGATAATTACAAGTAGGTTTGATCTTCAGAGGTGGTTTGTATGACTTTGTCCTGTCCTCCACTCTTCCATCCCCATGTATTTAACATTTACGTTGTATCATATAAACGTCATACAAATGTCTACTACAGTGGTAAACTTGAAATAGTAAAAGTAATCATTTTATATCATCACAATATAATTGAGCCAATAAACAATCTTTTGTTAAAAAGTATTTTTATCTTCTCAAGTTATTGGGAGCTAATGTTGATAGTTACTATAGTGACTTAAATTTCTTCCTTTCCCCATATATTCAAGCATTGAATTTTTATGAAAATTTATCCCGTAATACACTGAAATTTAATGAAACAGTCTAAAAAATTAAGAAATTACTCCTTTTTTAATGGTAATTTTCTTGACACATCTTTGAGCTTGTTTTCAGTTGTTTTTTTGTTGTTGTTGTTTTAGTATTGAGAGAATATCGAACCTTCTTGCCTCTGGATAAGAGACATATTTCCCCAGTGTAGCACCACACTTAATCTTTTCTCTGTATTATAGCAGGTCCTTTGTTAAGAATTATTTTAAACCATGTTTAAAATCACTGATATCCATTTCTTCCTCCCTGCCATTCACAGTTATGCCCGAAGTTGGGGAATTTTTAAGTTAGTAATCCTTTTTATCATTCAGTTGTATGCGATATATCATAACTGCTGGGGTTTTTTCAAAAGGTAATGAATATAAAGAGCTTATTTCTCTTGAGGCTTCTCATTTTTCTTTTAGCTGCATTTGTTAGTTTAATTTTTTTTTTTTTTTTTTTTTGCTCAACTTTATTATACCAGTTGTCCCAAGCTTTCAAATTGAGCTTTATCTTCTGCAAATATTTTTTGTATTTTACAATTTTACCAAAAAGACTAGATTGTTTTTCAGTATTAATATATGTATACATTCATCTTTGTTGTCTCATATGGTAGTGATTATCAACTTACCTGTTTCATAGGTTTCAACAATTTTTAAAGAATCCTGCAGAACAGAATTAGTCCCAGTAAAAGACTGGAAATTCTGAAAAACAACGGTAGATAGCTTTTCTTCAAATATTAAATATATTACAGAAGCTCTGAATGTATACTTATGTCTATCTAAAATTTTATTAATGTTTGAAAATACCTTTATTGTAATCTTCTCCCACACCAGAATATTACCACTTTATATTTCCATACCAATTTTTATTTTACAAAAGTTTTTAACATGGTAACTTACTTGAAAATCTCTGAGGTCAGTGGATCAGCTTTCAGCTGCAGTGGTTTCACAAGTCCCTTGTTGCCTTAAGTTATAAGCTTCTTGAGTTTGATGGTCTATGTCTTATATCTGCAACAGTTTCTCATCCCATCTTTCTAAGTACTGGCATAGCACCTATATATAATAAACACACATGTTTTGTCTAATAAGGTATATAGAAGATATTACCTTAACATTCAAAATATGAGTAAGCTATTAAAAATTTCTTTATCTGGCTCAAGAAACTTACTGAATTTAAAAGAAGTTACATTTTAACTATTAAATAATAGTGAAGTTTAAGAAGTTTCTGCACAATTATAGAAGATGGTAAATTTTAACCACTAAAGTTGCAGCCCTGGTGGCACAGTGGTTAAGAACTCGGCTGCCAACCAAAAGGTCAGCAGTTCAAATCCACCAGCCACTTCTTGGAACCCCTGTGAGGCAGCTCTGCTCTGTCATATAGGGTCGCTGTGAGTCGGAATCAACTCAACAGCACCGGGTTTAGTATTTTGGTTTATAGTAAAAGCACAATAAAGAGTTTATTGAAGATCATTTTTACTTTGCTAAAAAAGATAGGCTTAGCCATTTAAGCCACTAAAGAACTGAAGAAAAAATTCAGGCCTCGAGTTGCAATACCGAAGGATTCTACAGGGAAAATATTAAACGACGCGGAAAGCATCAAAAGAAGATGGAAGGAATACACAGAGTCACTGTACCAAAAAGAATTGGTTGACATTCAGCCATTTCAGGAGGTAGCATATGATCAGGAACTGATGGTACCAAAGGAAGAAGTCCAAGCTACACTGAAGGCTTTGGCAAAAAACAAGGCTTCAGGAATTGATGAAATACCAATTGAGATGTTTCAGCAAATTGATGCAACACTGGAAGCACTCACTTGTCTATGCCAAGAAATTTGGAAGACAGCTTCCTGGCCAACCAACTGGAAGAGATCCATATTTATGCCTATTCACAAAAAAGGTGATCCAACCGAATGTGGAAATTATCAAACAATGTCATTAATATCACACGCAAGTAAAATTTTGCTGAAGAGCATTCAAAAGCGGCTGCAGCAGTATATCAAAAGGGAACTGCCAGAAATTCAAGCCAGATTCAGAAGAGGACGTGGAACCAGGGATATCATTGCTGATGTCAGATGGATCCTGGCTGAAAGCAGAGAATACCGGAAAGATGTTTACCTGTGTTTTATTGACTATGCAAAGACATTCGACTGTGTGGATCATAATAAATTACGGATGGCATTGCAGAGAATGGGAATTCCAGAACACTTACTTGTGCTCATGAGGAACCTGTACATAGGTCAAGAGGCAGTCGTACGAACAGAACAAAGGGATACTGCGTGGTTTAAAATCAGGAAAGGTGTGCATCAGGATTGTATCCTTTCACCATATCTATTAGTCTGTATGCTGAGCGAATAATCCGAGAAACTGGACTATATGAAGAAGAATGCAGCATCAGGACTGGAGGAAGACTCATTAACAACCTGCGTTATGCAGATGACACAACCTTGCTTGCTGAAAGTAAAGAGGCTGTCAAGCACTTTTACTGATGAAGATTAAAGACAACAGCCTTCAGTATGGATTACATCTCAATGTAAAGAAAATAAAAATCCAAACAACTGGACCGGTAAGCAACATCATGATAAAAGGAGAAAAGATTGAAGTTGTCAGGGATTTTATTTTACTTGTATCCACAGTCAACACCCATGGAAGTAACAGTCAGGAAATCAAAAGACGCATTGCATTGGGCAAATCTGCTGCAAAAGACCTTTTTAAGGCGTTGAAAAGCAAAGATGCCACCTTGAAGACTAAGGTGCACCTGACCCAAGCCATGGTGTTTTCAATTGCCTCATATGCTTGCGAAAGCTGGACATTGAATAAGGAAGACCGAAGAAGAATTGTGATGCTGGCAAAGAAAGTTGAATATACCAAAAGAACGAACAAGTCTGTCTTGGAAGAAGTACAACCAGAGTGCTCCTTAGATGCAAGGATGGTGAGACTGCGTCTCACATACTTTGGACATGTTACCAGGAGGGACCAGTCCCTGGAGAAGGACATCGTGCTTGGCAAAGTAGAGGGCCAGCAAAAAATAGGACTCTCAACAAGATAGATTGACACAGTGGCTTCCACAGTGGGCTCAAGCATAACAGTGATTGTGAGGATGGCACAGGACCGGGCAGTGTTTCGTTCTCTTGTACATAAGGTTGCTATGAGTTGAAATCGACTCGATGGCACCTAACAGCAACAACATAGACTGACATATTAAAGATACATCATTATTGTGGGAAAGCTGATGCTATTTTTTATTTTTGTTTTCATGAGTAGCTAGAACCAGAGCAACCTCTTCATTATATTTATTTTTAAAATACGGGTAGTCCCCGAGTTACGATGGGGTTCTCTTCAGGTGACTCTGTTGTTAAGTCGGTTCTGACATAAGTCGAATACCTCTTTTTTTTTTAATTTTCATTATTATTGCCTTTTATTATCAATGTCTTTATAAATCCAGCAGTGTTTTGAACACTAAATCATAAAATTGAACGTCTGCAAATGATAACATCAGCAGATTGTGTGCTGTAACATGCTACTAACAATAAGATGTACTGGGAAAAAAAAAAAAAAAAAAGACGGTCCTAAGTGGGATTTGTCATAACTCGAATATGTCGTAATTTGGGAACTACCTATCTTTATTAAGCTTTACTACAGGGCAGTCACTGTGCTAATTTCTGGGATTACAAAAATGAATAAAATATTGTTCTTGCCCTCAGTCTCATGCAAGACACATCCACCAAACAGACAATTACAAAACAGTTTGAACAGTGCAGTATAGGGTAATGCCCAGGGCACTATGGGAAGCTAGCTAAGGGGAGACCTGATCCCACTTTCAGCTGGAAAAGTGAAGAGAAGAAAAGAACAGCTTCAGGAGACAGTCACCTGAGCTGGATCTTAGCAAGCAAGTAGGAGTTAGTCCCACATGAAGGATAAGGGAAGGCATTCCAGGAGATGGAATGATCAGAGGAATGGGGAGAGAAACTGTGTTTGCATGGGGGACTACAATTTATTTAGTGGTTTTGAGGCACTGGAGAGGATTTTTTTTTTTTTTTCCTAAAGATGCAGTTGCATTTCATGAGCCTACATAATTAAACATGTTAAACTGTCGTTAGTTTCTGTCCAGTCAGTTCTGACTCATGGCAACCCCTAGAGCATTTTAAGTTAAGAGGCATTGAAATTGTTAGGGGAAAAAAAGAAAAGATTTTTATGATGAGAAGTATTTAAATTAAAATAACGCATCACTTATCCAAAGGCTTCTGTTTGGCACTTCATCTATATAGGCAGCCAGTCTAGACAGTACAAGTTACATGCGTGTGCTTTAATCACAGTGAAAACCTTTCTAAGTTATTTTATTTTAATTCTAAACATAATCTCTTTTCTCTCAGTGAATCAGCATCACTGTTGTCACATGGTGTTTTGATGATATTGCGTATAACTAATACCCGTGACTAGCCCTCACTTCTGTGCTTTTTAAGCTGCTTTTGCTTTTTTTTAATACTGCTGTCAGTTACCAGCTGCTACTGATAACACTATGATTCACCCAGCAGCTCCCTTTATATCCCTTTCTGTTCCTTTCTATTTTTGTGCTGCATTAGGAAATTGCAATTACTTTGTTTACTCCTTTGTCTCCTAGACTGTAAGTTTCAGAAGGGCAGGGATACCATGTCTATCTTAGTTTCTATTTATATTCACAGCACTGAACGCAAAGTAGGGGTTCCGTAAATATCAAATCAATGACTGCAATATGGTCTGTAGCCTAAGTAATTAAAGTAAACTGATTCTATTAAAAAAAAAAAAAAAAAAAAGTAGAGTTCTGGTTAATCGTACATCTGTTGAATACATGGATTTTATATTACAGATAATTGGAATATAATCATACTTAATTTCCTCTTTGGTTATCAAATAATAAGTTAAAAACTTCTAATATATTTATTTATCATTATAAATATCACTTGTTTGGGGCAGTTTCATAAAAACTCCAGTTGATAAAAAGTACTAAACAGTTTATTAATTTTCAGACAAATACTTAGTAATAGAAGGAGTCATGGACTACACCAAAGTATTTTCCACAGTTTCTGCAGTATCCTGTTTTCTGAAATAGCTTCCACTGATAGGAATAATGATCTTTTTATATGGAACTCAAAACTGGATATGTTATCCTAAATGGAGCTAATAAACCAGTAAACTTTGACTCAGAGTTTTACCAAGGCTGTTTGTTGCCAACAACCTTTTTATCTTTATAGATCTTTGTTTTGGTAAGTTGAGTTGTTGGTTTCTTAGTTACCTAGTGCTGCTATAACAGAAGTCCCACAAGTGGATGATTTCAACAAACAGAAGTTTATTCTACAGTCTAGTAGGCTAGAAGTCCAAATTCAGGGTGTCAGCTCCAGAGGAAGGCTTTCTCTCTGCAGGCTCTGGAGGAAGGTCCTTGTCATCAGTCTTCCCCTGGTCTAGGAGCTTCTCAGGTGCAGAGATCCCGGGTCCAAAGGATGCACTCTGCTCCTGGTGCTGCTGTTTTGGTAGTATGAGGTCCCTTGTCTCTCTGCTTGCTTCTCTCTTTTATATCTCGAAAGAGATTGGCTCAAGACACAATCCAATTTTGTAGATTGAGTCCTGCATCATCAACATAACTGCCACTAATCCATCTCATCAACATCATAAAGTCAGGATTTATAACACATAGCAAAATTACATCAGATGACAAAATGTTGGACAGTCACACAATACTGGGAATTATGGCCCAGCCAAGTTGACAGATATTTTTGGGATATACAGTTCAGTCCACGACAGTTGGTTTGTTAGTTGGTTAGTTTTAAATAAGGTGTTTTTGAAATTTGCCTTGCTGCAGTCAAGCCAACAGCCCATCTAGTAAAGATTCTTAAAAGAATTTACATAATGTCCTTAATATATATGTGCAAGTTCGTAATTAAAGTGTCAGGTATTAATGACCTCAAGTTAAATCACATTCTAGTCATTCGACAGATATCTTTAAATATATTGAATTGTTTGGCAACTTAGGGGTAGCTTGGGGAGATGTCTGTGTTTTTAAATACAACTTTTTAATATTTTTTTCTCCCTAATATTTCCTAGAACAACCATAAGACTGGCTTTGAATGAAAGAGATAGGAAATTTGACTGTTAGTTAAAGAGTGCTCTTGAAGAAAAATACATAGCTGAGTATTTTATGAAAATGTTTTTAATTTTTTTGTGAGTGACTTTAATATTGTTTTGTCAGATATTAATCATTTTATGTGTTTTATTTCTTTTTAAAATTTAGGCTTTCATTAAAGATAGAGCCAGGGACAAGCACACCACGTTCTGCTGCTTCCAGGGAAGATTTACTAGGTTAGTGCATAGTTTTATTTCATTACCTTGTGGAAAAATCAAATACCACTTCTCACACCAAAGTGTAAAGATCAATTCATTACCAATTCTGTTCCCCTTTGTTCCTCTTCTGTTCTGACAGTAACTGCATAAGCAACACTTCCTGCTTTGACCCTCACCACCTGGAAGCTAGATCAGACCTCAGAAATTAAAGGGCACAGTCCTTCAGACTGCCAAATCTGCCCAAGATCTCAGAGTCCAGCCTCAGGCTTGGGAGTCCCCATGACCCCCTCACTTATCACCTGCTGGCTATATCCCTTCAGGATATTAGTCCCCCTCATTTCTGACCTGGCTCCCACTAGTTCCTTGGGTTTAATAATTCACTAAAATGACTCACAGAACTCACAAAAAGTACCATACTTTTGATTACAGTTTTATTATAGCCAAAAGGATACAAATGAAGAGACATGTGGGCAAGGTCTGGAAGGATACCCAAGACAGAGTTTCCATGTCCCAAAAAGGATTGTGCTACCCTCTCACATGCATCAGTAGTCTTTCACCAACCAGGAAGTCCATGGAGCTTCCATGTCCAGAGCTTTTATTGAGGCCTAATTACATAATTCAAATCCAGCCCCTCTTCCTTGAAATCAATTGATATCACACAGTGGGTCTTTCTGGCCTGTTCAGCCCCAACCCAAGAATCACCTCATTAGCATAACCTGTTAGGTTAGATATGGTCTGGAGGTCTCTTAAGACACTTCAGTTGCTGGGAAAATAAAATTCCAAGGTTTTAGAGGCTATCTCTCAGGAACCAAGGACAAAAAGCAAATTCTCTGGGTAAAGTTAACTCCACATTACCTAATAATAATTCAGATGACCTAATAAGAAAGCGTATACACCAAAATAAATATTTAACACATGGCAAAATATTATTTTTGGGATTAAAATCTGTCAATCCTTTCTGTTTGATTGGTTTTTTTGCTTGCTTATTGTTTAATCAAAAAGTTGCCTGTAGTTTGTCAGTGTTGTACAAGCAAATATGCTACCTAATCAAGGAATATAGATACAGCAGATAGAAAATACAGATAAGTATTTATGAATAGTCTGTTCATTTTATATGTATACATAATATGTATGTATGTATATAAAGAATGCACTGTCCTAGGCAGTGAGGGTTGATTGAGCTAGAAATTTCTGTGATTTAGTAGAAAATTGCACTAATTGGAATAGTGATTTAATTTTTTTTTTCAATTTAATAGTGGGCCAAGTACTGAAAATATCAAAAATAGTCATAGTCTCTTACTTCACCTATTGTAATGTGGAACAATTAAAACAACACTGGATAGAAAAAATTGGGGAACGGATAGGGTGATGGCTGAACAACATGATGAACTATACCTGTGAAGATTATTGAAATGGAAAATGTTTTCTTACATGTATATTTGCCATAATTTAGAAAACATAAGAAGCGTGTCCACCAAAACAAAAAAAGTACTGAACTAGGACTCAGAAGACCTGGATGTTTTAGTCTATGTTTTGTCTATGATGTGAGATCCTGAGCAGATCGCTTCTAATTCTGCTTCTTTCTCTGTAAAGGGGGAAAATATTTATACTGCCTTGGGTAGAAATTCATGGATTTTGTATGTCTGAAGAAGCCCTAGTGTTGCAGTGGTTAAGCGCTTGGCTACTAACCCAAAAGTTCAGTGGTTCAAACCCACTAGCCACTCTGTGGGAGAATGATATGGCAGTTTGTTTCTGAAAAGATTATGCTGTCCTATAGGGTTGCTATGAGTCGTAATCAACTCACTGGCAGTGGGTTTTGTATGTCTTAGGATTTTGTGTTTTAGGACTCAGAAAGCAAGATTTTCTTATCCCCAGTCAATTAAATAGAACTGACATTAATATTATCTTAAAATTTAAACCGCCGGTCTCGGGGAACATCTAACTCAACTGGCATAACACAGTTTATAAAGACAGTGTTCTACCTTCTACCTTGCTGAGTAGCGTCTGGGGTCTTAAAAGCCTGTGAGCAGTCATCTAAGATACTCCACTGGTCTCACCCCTTCGGGAGCAAGGGAGAATGAAAACAACAGGCTACAGGGAAAAGATTAGTTCAAAGGACTAATGGACCATGGCTACCAAGGCCCCCACCAGACTGAGTCCAGTACAGCTAGATGGTGCCCAGCTACCACCACTGACTGCTCTGACCAGGATCACAAGAGAGGGTCCTGGACAGAGCTGGATAAGGATGTAGAACAAAATTCTAACACACAAAAAAAAAACCAGATTTACTGGCCTGACAGAGACTAGAGAAACCCTGAGAGTATGGCCCCTGGACACCTTTTAGCCCAGTGGTGAAGTCACTCCTGAGGTTCACCATTCAGCCGGGGATTGGACAGCCCCATAAAGCAAAACGGGACTAATAAAGCACAGCAGTCCAGGGGCAAGAGCTAGAAGGCAGGAGGGGACAGGAAAGCTGGTGATAGGGAACCCACAGTTGAGAAAAGACAGTGTTGACGTGTTGTGGGGTTGTTAACCATTGTCATAGGGCAATATATCTACTAACTGTTTAATGAGAAACTATTTGTTCTGTAAACCTTCATCTAAAGTACAATAAAAAAAATTTTTTTTAACGTACAAAAAAAAAAAAAGAATTATCTATGTGAGATCAAATTGATGACAGCAGCTCAGAAGGTTTGATGGGAAGCCTAGGGGGCAGTGAGTTGAAGATAATGGTGATGGAATAATTTGGAAGAGGATAGTGAGAATAGCAGCACAACTGGAAGAATGTAATCGATGTCACTGAATT